TTATAGTTTCTCTTGCACTTCTAATACCAAAGAGATTATGGTCTGTAAGTCAAGGGAAGAGACAAAGGCAACCCCATTTCAGAATGAAGTACACGACTTCTTGCTCTGAAGATCTGCCCCTTCCCTTTCTCGGCTATAAGTAACGTATCTGTTATTAGTAGTCACTGACTCCCATAGGAGTCCTGGAAATTTGGGGCACAGAAGAGAGAGCAGGGGCAAACACTACCAAGGACGTGTGACTTCACTCTCCTGGAACTTCTAGCCATGAGAACTTGACACAAGTATATGAGTCTCACAAAGCTGTCAGGATTTCACCTATAGACAGATAAGAGTAACATCATCAGGTTTCTAACATATTTTCTTTGTGTGACTCAATTAAATTTCCGTAGTGGCAAAAGGGCAGATGAAGAATATTAAATTCTGAACTATAAAGGCGAGTAACTTCTATGCCACACCCAGTCAGATGACAGAACGGAGTGACAGCCTTCAGAACTGTCCTCAGCTACATTATATACCAAGAAGACCTTTTAATGACTTCCTTGCTAGAAGGTGTCTAGCAAGGGGACCATGAAAGCCTTCTGGTTGAGGCTCCTCCGCACATGTGTATGTGGTACTGCTAGAACATATCATGCCAAACTAAGGAACCAGAACCCATCTTGGGCAACCAGAAATGACTGTCATTCATTTCACAATGAAACGGTTTTGCATATTTGGTCACAATATGGATTTCTGGGTAAAAGGAACCCAAATACAACGAGATAAATTAGAAGAGTTAATAAAGAGTTAATAAAACAAATGTAACTGACTTCAAGACACTTCATCTGAAAGACTAGAATTCTCACTGAGATGTCTTCCCCAAGTACAGACCGGTGTCACAACTGTGAATGAAGGACTTGTTCTCTCTGGGCTGGCAACAATTTTTAAGAAGTTGAGGGACTTCCCTGGTGGTCCAGTGGTTGAGAATCTGCCTTCCAATGCAGGGGACACGGGTTCGATCCCTGGTCGGGGAACTAAGATCCGCAACTAGGCCCGCGCGCTCTGGAGCCCACACACCATGAGAGAGCCTGCACGCTGCAACTGCTAAGCCCACGCGCTCTAAGAGCCCACGCACCACAACTAGAGAAAAGCCTGCGTGCTGCAACAAAGAGCCTGCGCACTGCAAAGAAAGATCCCGTGTGCCGCAACTAAGACCTGATGCAGCCAAATTAATAATTAAAAAAAAAAGAAGAAGTTGAATATAATTACGCAGTGTTGGAGATATTTGTGACAGATCTAATCTGAAGCTTCTCCAGTTCTGTCATTAGCTCAGGGTATCCTTGCCTTGGAAGGCAAAGCAGGTAAAAAATGAGGCAAGAAGATGAACTGGAGATGATTCTAGGATTACAATTACATTTAGAATAACATAAAATGAGGGGGGGGGGTGAGGGTAGCTTGAACAACAGTCATAAAGTCACAGGTACCACCTCTTTTGCTGGCCTTAGAAATTACGGGAACACAGCACTCAACCTGGGCTTCATAAAAGCCTCCCTCCCTCTTTCCAAAGGGATGGTGAAAATCAAAACGTGAGTTTTCCTTATGCTTATTTGCCGTCTGCATTCTAGCAGGTGGTCTGAGCTCAGAAGGAGGCAGACAGCAGGGTCGGGGCAGCCACACCTTTACCCTGCTTGTGAACATCTTTATGCAAAGAGAGATGCTGAGGGCTTCAGGACAGACCACCTGACGGCAGGTTTCTGGATGTCCTGTTTGTGCATTTTGATAAACACAGGGACCCTGAAGTCTCAGTCCTTGCCGCAGACAGAGACAAATGACAGGAGAAGATGCCTGCCTGGGAAGATAGTCATTAATCCAGACCACAAAAGAATAGAAAGTTTAACCTGATGTTGACCAACCTTCAAACCTATCTTCCCTAGCAATAAATCTAGATAGTCTTGTTGCACAGCAAGCTCATGGAGCAAGGGCTCAAATATGGTTGTACATCATTTTAAAGGTTTTTACATCTGCAGGACACTAAAGTCAGACACTAAACATGCTTGCTCCTGATCTCTAATCTTAGACATGTCTGACTTTGGTCAAGCCTCTGTATCCTTATTTTAAAAAAACACAATGAAATGAACTATCTCATTGGGTTATTATAAGGAGTAAACAAGATTTTAAAAGACATATGTATATTAATATATTTATATATACTACAAATGTTGTGTATGTTATAAATTAGTATACATGAAAAATATGATAGCTGATACCTTTCATTCAATGGATGATGAAAGAGAACCAAAAAAGATGGGATCTACATAATGTCTCCCTTTTGTTTTCTGAGGCCCCTATACACCTGGATGGGACAAGCTAGAGAATGGCAAAATGATCTGTGACTTAGCAAATGGAAGGAGAGTGAAGAGGTCGGAGTGGGGTGGCAAAGGCAAGACCATGCTGTGCTGTGAGGGTGAGGAAACCCAGGAGAAGAACAGTCTCTCTTAAGTGTTAGGATTCCAGGCCATATCTAACTTAATCTGCTTCTCTGTACTTGAAAGAACTATAAATTATGACTGTATAAGCCTGTAACTTTCTTTCTAGTTATCAAACCTGAGGAAAAGGATTCGGGCAGAGAAATTAAAATGGGCTGGTACATTCCCTAATTTCTCACTTGCTCTCTCCTCAGAGTACCTAGAAATTAAGAGAAGAGGCAAAACCACAAGCAGCCCTCGGTTTACAGTAGGGGGAGGAGGGCGGGGAAAGAGACAGAGAAAGAATGAACAGACGGTAACTCAGCATCAACCAGCCGGCAACATCCTTCACTAGAAGACCTGGACTGCTAATACTGAGGTGACTAATCCACAGCTGCTATAAAAATCAAGTTTATAGTCTGCTTCAGCCCCACAAGAAAGGCAAACACCAAGGGGAGGGACTTTCAGAGGGGCTTTAGAGAAACCAGCCCATTGTTACTAACCAGGGAGCAATACAATGGTAAGTCAGTGCATGAAAGGTGAAGAGGGTGATGTAAATTCAGGCTGCGCTGAAGCCAGGGGGAGGCGAGAGCACAGGTGGGCTGTGGGGAGCACAGGGAGGAGGCAGTCTGACACAGGAAAATCAAGGGGGAAGGAAGGGGAAAGGGAGGAGGTGGTAACAGAAGAAAGAGAAGGTAAGATGAGAACAGAACATTTTAAACTAACCCAGAACTCCACTGTGAAGGACAAGTCACGAGGCAAGATACAGCTCAAAGGCATGAGCCCCAGGTTTCACCACTGTGAAGAGATAACAGCCTTCCAAATATGCGTGGAGAGAGGGCTATGCAATCTGCACTGACTCCCAGAGCTCCACGGGATTACCGAGGCTTTTCAGCTGCACTAAGTCCCAGCAGCCTTGGCACTGTGTGTTGAAACTGCTTCCCTGAATAGACCCCGGTGCTGGAAAAATAATCATTTCTACAGGGGAACATATTTC